AGGTATGCAATGGATCGTTCTCAAGTGCAGAATTTCCCTGAGAGCCTGAGACCAGGTAGTTTCATCTGGTTGGGTTGCCCGGCCTTTGTCTCACAACTTTTGTATTTACTTGGTCTCCATCTATGATAGGTAAGCACTTCTTCATCTGTCTTCTCCTCCTCCTCTTATTGCTTCATACTGCATTTTCCAATTTTGAACTCCGAGGTCCTCACAGTATCTACTGTAACTGCGTTCTCCAATTCTGAACTAAGAGGTTCTCACAGTGTCTACTAGTATCTGGGATGGGAAGATATCTGGGAAGAATCTAGGATGGATGGTGGAGCTCAACATTGTCTTTTGTCCAGTGCGTGGAAACAGTTGATGCATGTACTTTGTACAGTTTTATGGTGGTTTGTGGTAGGAAGGCAAATTTTGTACTAGTTACTCTGTCAAGGAAGCACAAGTCCCTTACTCCTTCGAAACATGCCATTTGTCTATTTTCTCATTGACAAAAATCTCTAGGTTACTTCTGCTCATTTATAGAAGACTGGCTTCTGTCTTACAGACTTTTAGCCTCCCACTTTTATCACCATATGGGGGATGTTGTTATCACTAGAAAGAGCTCTATCTCTGGAATCTTAAGACTCTAATATCCCACTTGCTGACCAACATCTACTTCTCTCATTCAGTCAGTCACACTGTACCTGTTCTTGACATCTCCATCTCCTGACTCCTCTGCTTTTTTTCTATTCATTGTTCCTCTTCTGTTGTCCCTTACTTTCTTACACAGTGTAGAGTCAGTCTAGCTTGAATTCTGTGGTCTATCACTTCATCCACCCTACTGCCAGTGTCCTTAACTCCCTCCCTTCCTTTCTATTCTCCTGACAAAATCCAAATCTTAGATCAGTGATGCTGTTTGCTTTTTTTCGTGTTCATTTCCTGAAAACTGAATGCTGCTGGAGAAAATTCCACAGCTGCCCAGCACCTTTCCCCAGCAGCTGTTTAAGAACTTCTCCAATCTTCCAGAACCTCTGATCATGCCACCTCCACCCTTTACTCCCAGTGTCTCCTGTTGCACGTAAAAGCAATCATATGATTTCTAATTCTTGTTACCAATCTACAGATTTAACTGCATTCTCATCCATCTGTTTCTCTGTGGTATTGTGGAAGAGACATCTTGCCCATTTATAACTTTTTTCCATTTAGGTTCTGAATCCCACCTACTCCTGTATTCTCTAGGACATTATCTATTCAATTATCTCTTCTCTCCTACTTCTTTCCCTTTTATCTCCTTCTCTCCTATCAACATTTAAATGTGATCGGTTTTTTACCAAAAACCTTCCCTCATTGTTCCCCTCCACCTCCCACCTTTGCTTTCCTTTCCTTTAGAAAGAGAATTATTCACATGTAGTGATTCTACCTCCTCACCTCCATCTCAGTCTCCAATCCATTGTAGTCCTTTGCCATTCTACTAAAATTGCTTTTGCCTTGTTCATCAGTGCCTCTTTTGTTGTTAACACTAATGGACACTTCTCAATATATTTCTTAAGTTATTTTACAGATATTTGATCATGTTGACCCCTTCATCTCTGTTGAGATGTTTTTTTTCAACCTTGACTGCTTTTATGACTTGACCCTTGTTTTTCTTCCTAACTCTTCTAATTACTAGATTCCTTTATAGATTTCTCTTCCTCTGCTTAGTTCTTAAATGTCTTATACTCTCTTCTTTTTTAGCTCTGCAATTTCTCTCTGGGTCATGTCATTTATTCCTATGACTTCAGTGATTTTTTTTTTTTTTTTAAAGATGACCAGTAAGGGGATCTTAACCCTTGACTTGGTGTTGTCAGCACCACACTCAGCCAGTGAGTGAACTGGCCATCCCTATATGGGATCCGAACCTGGGGCCTTGGTGTTATCAGCACCGCACTCTCCCGAGTGAGCCATGGGCCGGCCCGACTTCAGTGATTTTTATGCTGATAATTACCAAACCTTTATCCTTAGCCCTTATTATCTCCAAAGATAGTTGCTTATGGAACATTTCTTCATGGCATGTCTTGAGATACTTCAAACTTATCATGTCCAAAAAGAACTGATTTTTTTTTACCTATCCCTTCTGCTCACATATAATCAACTACTTTGTCCTCTTGATTATTCCTCCCAGATGAGTTTCAAAAAAATCAGCTTCTTTTTATCTCTAAGTCTCTTCCCTAATATAGGCCATCATTGACTCTCTTAGATTACTGCATCCCCTTTCTAATTAGCCTGTGTGTTTCCAGTCTAGGCCATTCTGCATATCGCAGCTGAAGTAGTCTTCTGATTATACAATCTAATGCTATCACTTTCCTTCTTAAAATTCTTAAAAATTCTTAAAATCTTCTTAAAACTCTTCATTGTCTCCTGGGTATTACTCAGGACTCTTGATAGTAGATGATAGAAATCCAGCTTATCCTAGGTTTGGCAGAGAGGAATCATTGGAAGTTTTTGTAAGTGCAGAAATAATTGGAGTGTGACTGGGCATAGAGACACATGGAACTAGGATTTGGAATACTGCCAATATTTTCTTCTGTATTTTCTCCTTCTCTCAGCACTCTGGCTTTATCCTCTTTTCACTACTGTTTCTTTCAAGTGACAGAGCATGTGGCTGTCAGTATTATTAGAACTTCATATTTCTACTATCATGAGAGGAAGGAACTGAGACTCTGGTTGGACCCTATCTGATGCAATTCACTCTGTTTAGAATGCCTGTTACTTCCCAGGTTGGGTCAGATGGTGCCCATCTCTGAACCAGTCAGCTTGTAGGCAGGGGAGGAAGATACTATGATTGGCTCATTTTGGGTTAATCTGGTCTCTGATGAAGGAGATAGAATCTGTAAGGAAATGAAAGCTCCTGTTCCCAAATGAACTTCACAGTTAGAGTGGGAAGAAAGAACACTGCAGAATAAGGGATGGTACTCTTCACTGAGTCTGCAAATTATTAGATACTTATGGTATAAGATTTCTTGTAAGATAATACAGGCAGTCCCCGCTTTGCATGGTAGTGTGGGGCCATAAAAATGATTGTGCAAGCAGAAACTGTGCAAAGTGATCTTAATAATCCATGGGAAAATTATATTCTGTGACCTTTAAGAATTTTTGTCAAAACGTTAAAAAGTCTCTTACTGTCAGTTGTAAAGGTATAAGGAAATTAAAAAAATAGTAAAATGAATATTTATTTAGTATAGTGTAATTTTAAACGTTAGAAACATTGAGGATTAAAGTGTTTCGTTTCTTTGTAAAAAACATATTAAGAGTAATTCGAAAAGTACTTGCCCTCCTCTCATCCTACAACTTAGGATATGGAGCGAGTACCTTTTCTATGCTTAGGTGAATTGCCATACTCCTATGTTTGTATTGTCTTCCGCTGTTTTATCCAGTATCATGAAATATCTTTAAGAATTTCTATATCACTTCCTGTGGGACATTTCATCCCTTTGTCACAATCACTTTCCTCATTGATGTTAATAAGTTCCCTTCACAAAATTATTCTAGCTGCCTAACTTGAGTCTCTCAAATAGCAGCGATGTCATCATTCCCACGGTCAGCTATTTCTTCTGTAACTTAATTTACATTTGATTTGAATTTTATTTCCAACATTATCACTGTTCATTTCTTTGTTTCATTTTCATGTTTGTGGCCAATTTCTTCTTTAAAGTATCCATTTTTGTAAAGTCTCATGTGGGATTATCATTGGGAAACAAGGAGGTAATACAACTCTATGCTTTGCTGTCTGTGCATGAACTCAACAGATGTGCAGTGTATGACCAGTTGCCAACGGAAGTGATATGATTGGTCTGTGATTGTGTAGCACATCTGTTATTTATATAGTAGTCTGAAGAGTTAGCAGCAAAGTTTGTACTTTATGCAGTTACTCAAAGTTAATAAACATACTGGGGTCATTGGAATTTGAACTGTGTTGTGGGGGGACTGGTGTTATTTAACAAAATCATGGTGACTAAATTTTGTGCATATCAAAACTGTGCAATGTGACGACTGAGACGCATGTTATTTTTTGAGATACCTTATATTGAGACACCTTAACATGATCTATTACGTGATGCTATATTATCTTTCTTCTGCTTGCTTTCTTAGATTTATCTCAACAAATTTTGTGCATATCAAAACTGTGCAATGTGACGACTGAGACGCATGTTATTTTTTGAGATTCCTTATATTGAGACACCTTAACATGATCTATTACGTGATGCTATATTATCTTTCTTCTGCTTGCTTTCTTAGATTTATCTCAACACCACTTCTTTGGAACTGCTCAGACCTTATCCCATGTGGTTCTCTCAAGTTTGAATTCCCTTGCCTCTTCCCCCATCTTCCATTCCTCTACCCCACCCTCTTCCATTGGCTTACTCCTATTCATTTTTTCAGTTTTTCTGTAGACATTGCTTTCTCTGAAGAAGTCTTTTCTGTCCTTGCAAATTTGGGTTAAGTAATCAGCCTGTGATGTTCCCATGTTGTAAATACCTTCTCTGTCATAATAGCAAACACATGATTACATTGTATTGTGCTCATTTACTTGCCTGTTACCACTACTAAACAGTGTTTTCCATGCAAATAGAGTCCATGGCAGTGCTGTTCTCTACTCTATCCCCAGAGCCTAGCACTGTCTAGCACAAAATGGGCAATTAGTAAAAATTTTTTTGACTTAATGAAAAATAATCAGAGTTTTGGTGTGTTATGAATACTACGATATCAGATGGTATTCTGAAAGAATGGAGATAGGCTAGTTAAACAGGACAACATAGGTAGCAGATTGTGAAAAATTGAGAATTTATACTCCTTATTCTTTAAGTGAAATATACATTTGACAGCATACATTTTGTGATTCTTATATTTAACAAATACATTAGGTAAAATTAATCATGATAGGAAAAATTGCTTCAGTCTGATATGGTAGGTGCTTAATGAAGGGATAATCTAGTGTTATAAATTTTCTTTGGTTCTAATAATTATTTTCATTTATTTTGAAGGTATCTTCATGTTTTAATGATCTTCTGGTCATTTGTTGCTGGAGTCGTCACATTCTACTACTCTTTAGGACCTGATTCTCTCTTACCAAATATATTCTTCACAATAAAATACAAACCCAAGGTAAAATTGTGTGTTCTTATTTTAAAAGAGTCAGTATGTATGACTGTATGCTGCTTAATGTTTATTATTGAAAACATGTTAAAGCAATGATTTTTTTTAATGGTGGAACTACTATTATTTATTGGTGGCACACATAAGTCCATCAGAAAATCTTCAAAATGAAATTTATGTATGTGTATGTTTTAAAGTATACAGTTTTCCTAGAGGAGCTATAAGAATAAAATAGAGTATAAAATTCTCAGAAAGTCAGGTTCTACAATTTTAGAGTGTCCTCTAACTACATAATAACTATGAGGACAGTAAGTTAAAACAGAGGTTCTCAAAAATGGTTGTACAGTAGAATCTCCTGGCAAATCTTTAGAAATACATTTACTTGAGTCCTACCACTAGATTTTCATTGAATAGCTCTGGGTTTGAACCTTGTACTCAGTACTTGGTAAAAGCATTCCAGGTGATCCTGAGGCACAGATACAAGGAACTCTGGGTTAAATTATCCAACCCTTTTAATTTCTTAAATGTCTGTGAGCTCCATAGAAACAGAGAAATAATTAGGCAGTTTGCTTAAATAACATAACTTGTACTTCTGAAATTTAATAAAGGTGATAGTATATTGAATCTTTCTCTGTAAGGCAAGGAACTTGTCTGTAGATCAGGATTTTGTGGGATATGAAGTCTTACTTGCTAATTCTTTAAGTTGATGCAGTCAGTCCCTTGTCTCAGGTTTGTTGTTATTGTGCTTCAAGGAAACACAGCTGAAAGTAGTCAGGGACCTTACTGGTTACCACATACCTTCTCCCGGTTTGAATTCGAGGTTTTGAAGAAATAGAAATTAGTTTTTTCTTATACCTTTGCAGTACAGTATCACTTTCAAATATAAATTGAATTTTTTAAAAAGCGATCATAACAGTTGACTTCAACTATAATCTTGGAAATTTGGCTTAGGTCTTGTAAAGCATTGCATCAGGTTTTCTTTCTCTGGTAGTTGGCAATTTGGCAAGTATTTATTACAAAGAATGATTTCACTGCTAAAGTGGCAAAAAAAAAAGTCCTCTGATTTTATACAGTGATTTAAAAAACTTTTGAAAACTTCACTCTCTTTAGTAAGGATGATATGTAAAGACAAATTTTTTTCTCCTCCATTTTTCCCTTTTTAGCAGTTAGGACTTCAAGAATTATTTCCTCAAGGTCATAGCTGTGCTGTTTGTGGTAAAGTGAAGTGTAAACGACATAGGTAGGTTAAACATTTTTATTTGTTCATCCAACTCATTACATTTTGGATTTCAAGTGATTTAATAGAATGATTTTCTTTAGGCCTTCCTTGCTCCTTGAAAACTACCAGCCATGGCTAGACCTGAAAATTTCTTCCAAGGTTGATGCATCTCTCTCAGAGGTAACTGATTTAATTAATATTGCCAAATATACCCAAACAGAAAATGTTAAACACCTATGGAAAATTTTTCCAGATGTTTTGTCAAAAAATCTAATCAGAGCATCTCAATATATGCTACCTCACCAATTCTGGACTAGGTAGTTGATTTTTTTTTACAAAATAAGCAACTTGAATAGTAAGCTAGAAATGTTTTTGGAGCCCATGTTTTATTTAAATAGACATTTTAGCCAAGAAAAGCACTGCTTTTCCTGGTTATTGCTTACCTTGTATAAAAACAGTTGTCTTTATAATAGGGCAGTAGAAATAAACATTTTGTAATTCCAAAAGGAGCCCTGGATTACAAGGAGCAAATGTATATTTTACTGAATTATGACCCCAGTTTTGACACTAACTGAAGGGTAGAGTAGGGAAGGGGATATTTTTCATTATTTCTGCATAATATAGGAATAGAAAGCATGTTCTTTTATCTTTGTTCTAATCACATTTTACATGTACGTTTTTGGTAACATAGCATGTTTTAGAGATTTGTCTTCTCCATGGATTTGAGAAAGTAGTCAAGTTCTTGAAGGCAGAGAACGGGGTCTCATTTGTTCCCAACACCAAGTTCTGGGGCACATGTACTGTTCGTAGCTGATAGATATGTATTGAATTAAGTTGTCCTTTATTCCGGTTGGTGTCTATCTTTGATTAAAGGTAAGCTACCCAAAATGCCATTCAGACTCTTGGCATTTTTCTTTTTCATTGCTTTTCATTTCTAAGGTTACCTGATTTAAGACTGCGCTATCCAGTATGGTAGCCACTTGCCACATGTGGCTATATTAATACTTGAAATGTGCTAGTCCAAGTTGAAATGTGCTGTATATATAAAATATATACTGGGGGCCGGCCCGGTGGCGCACTGCGCTAGTGCGCCGCTTAGGAAGCGGGGCGGCACTCCCGCCCGAGGGTTCGGATCCTACATACAGACCGGTTCCCGCTCACTGGCTGAGGGAGGCACGGGGGCAACACCGAGGGTTGCGATCCCGTTGCCGGTCTTGGTCCGGTACGGGGGCAACACTGAGGGTTGCAATCCGTTGCTGGACACGGAAAAAGACAAAAAAAAAAAAAAAAAAAA